GCTGTGTGACTTAATCCTTTAGATCATGTGTAGTCTCAACTATAAAAGGGGGTTAGTACCTTCTTTGTAGGATTGTTTTAGGTTGTAACAACTATGGGATAATTGTTAGCTATATTTTTTTTTTTTTGTTTTTCTCCGGTACCAGGAACCGAACTCACGACCTTGCGCTTGCCAGGCAGGCGCTTTTGCCGCGGAGCTAAGTCCCCAGCCCCTTTGTTAGCTATATTAACAGCCTAATTACTGTCTGTGAACACATGTCTTACTGTGTGGCAGATGTCTTTATATACTTGAGTTCTAGGCTTTTTTCCTACTCCTGAGGTAGGGTACCTCTCATTTTACGGAGTCAGAGTTATTTTCCAAGGTCACATAATAAAGTGGCGTATCCAGGATACATATATGAAAGCTTCCTTATTTCCTGTTGCCACTCTTCTTGGTATAGTCTGTAATCTGAAATATTACAGTGGTTTGGAGTTCCTTTTCTAGGTGGAAAGTTGTTATAGCAAAGCCTCTTCTAGGAACTTTGACTTAAATCTGAGAAATATATTCTAAGAGTATAGAAATAAATACGTTGTCATTCTTTCAGAAACTGTCTAGGTGATGCCAGTAACCACCAATTCCCTGAAGTGTCTGATATTCCCTTGATAGAAAAGTAGAATTTAGTCTGGCTCTTTATTTTTCATTCCTAGAAATGACTACAGAAATGATCAGCGCAACCGACCATACTGATGACTGTTTTGAATGTTCCTTTGTCTCTGACATGATCCACAGTGAAAATGCCAGAGTTTTGCCTGCTGCTTTCCTCGTGGCCTCTTCTCGGGTAGTGAAATTAAGTGACATTTGGATTTTTATTTGGGTGGGAGGGCCGGGACAGTTTTTCTTTTAGAAATGTCATTGAAATTTCCCTTTCTAGTTTCCCACCTTCTCCTTCTCAAACCCTGGAAGCAAAGTGCGTTGTAAAATATTGCCAAAATGGAAAGTGTTTTGTAATACTGCAATAAAGACTGCTTGTTTTTGTGGACTTGTGTACGTTAGTCCATTTTTCTGTCACAAACACCAGTTAGAGCAGAGTGTAACCCTAAAGAATTAGGAAGTGAATTTTACTTCAGTAAATTAAAATTAAATTAAAATACCACTTTCAGTAATATTTATTTAGCTCTGTGCTGTTCAGAATAATAGTTCCCAAGGCTGACTTCAAGTCAGAATTACATGAGAAGTTTGTTAAAATTATGAATTCCTAGGCCTCAGCCCAGGCATGCTGTTTCATTACTTGTGAGGTATAGGGAGTTAGTTGTGGGAATGTTTATTTAGATCAAGCTTACCAGGTGTTTATATAGTCAGTTTAGTGCCAGTTTACAGTTGAAAAACATTTAAAGCAGAGTTCTATCTAAATGCTGGGAGTATGGAGTTTGAAGGCTGGTAGTAAGAAGGATTCAGTAAACCAGGGTTAAGTTTTCAATATATATGTATGTTACTTGGTTGACCTCAAATCAGAGTGAAATTGCCAAGTATACTAATTGTATACTTGGTATACATTTAGGAACTTTTGTTTGTTTTTTTTGTTTTGTTTTTGTTTTTTTGAGACAGGCTTAAAGCCTGTGTATCTCGGGCTGGCCTTGCACTTACCGTCCTTCCTCAGTCTGCTGAATGCTAGGATTACAGGTGTGCTGTACCTTGCCCAGCTTCATTAAAGAACTACTTATCCTACCTTTACCATGGGTAAGGCACTGGATTGTTTTGTTGTTGTTGTTCTTTTTGAGACAGGGTCTCGCTATGCAGTTCAGGCTGATCTTGAACTCACAGCGATTCTCCTGCCTCAGCCTCCCAAGTGCTGGAATTACAGGCATGCGCCACCACACCTGGCTGAGGCACTGGATTAGACACTAGCTATTCTCAAGTAAATAAGGTGGCAGTTTGGTAAGTGCTCCAGTAAGGATAAGTACAGGGTGTTAATGAGAGTTGATTTGGATACTTAATGTAGTCATGTGAGACCAGGAAAAGGCTTGGTGAGTCTGAAGGGAAGAGTAGAACTTGGCCAGGTACAGAGACTTGGGTGAGGAAATGGTGTTCCCAGTAGGAAACTGATGACTTGAGTTAGGAGTTAATGGAGAGTTGAGAGCAGGCTCTGTTTGCGCTTTAGAAGAGTTGTTTATAATTCAGTTTGATCAGAGGGAAGAGTTTAAGGAAGGGACTGGAGAGAGAAAGCAGCCGTATGATAATAGTCTTGCATTACATTTTTTTTTTCACCTGCCTCCAAATCGTCATTAAAAGATTATAAACAGGAGTGGTTTCAGATGAAAGGATGTTGCCTTGTGGAAAGGCTGGACTGGAGACAAAATGCTAGGCTAGGTGAGAGTATATTGGCTTGAGCTCAGTAGGAGATAGCTAATAGATTTGAGAAATGAGCTAGGTTTGCCAGATTTAGTTGGATAGCAGTAATACTGGGGAAAGAAGAGTCAAGTTTCTGACATACCACTACCCCAGTCTGACTATTTTCCCTGACTTCTTCCTGCTCCCCCTTGACACAGGTCTGTTACCAGGACAGTTTCTCCTGCCTCAGCCTCCTGAGTTCATGGGATTGTTACAGGCATGTGGCACTCCGTTTGGCTTTTTGTGTTTTTAAAATTCATTTTCCTTGGTGCATACCTGTAGTCCCGATACTCAGGAGGCTGAGGTGGGAGGATCTCTGAGAGTTTAAGGCCAGCCTGAACCCTGTCTCAGAAAGAAAGAAAAAAAAATTTTTTTTTTTTTTTTCATTTTCCTCCATCAGGCTATAAGCTTCAAAAGAGTATGGAACCTTAACTGTATTCACTGTTTTAAGCCCAGTGCCTAGAACAGTATTAGGGGTAGAGTAGGTACTCACTAAAAATGAACTAAATGAATTTGTTACATATATGGATTTGAGAGTCATCAGAGTATAGATGGGGGTTGGTGAGAGTGAGTATGTTTAAAAATAAAACTGCCTAGATCAGTGGTTCTCCAACCATGAGTAGTTCTTTCATCTGTGTGAGAATCGGGATGTTTTGGGAAGTAGAAAGGTCTAGGTTCTGCTCCAAAACATCAGTAAATGAGGCCTGGCCATTTAAAAAAATCCTTAGTGCTTACAGTTTTGAGAATCAGTATGTTAGGGAGAGAGGAGCTTTGGCCAGAAACTTGAGAGAGACTGATACTTAAAAGATGAGCTGAAGAGGATCCTAAAAGAATAACCAGAGATGTCCGTGGAACCCAAAGGAACAGTGGATTTGAAGAAGGGAGAATCTAGTGGAATCAAATGCTTGAATCAAATGCTTACCAACTCATGTAAAGGATAGGCTTAATTACATCTAGCAATGTGAGCTGTAAATTACTTTAGTTCAGGGTTTCTCAGCCTTGGTACTATTGACATTTTGTGGTGGTTACTTGTGGGAGGCTACCTTCTGCATTGTAGATTTAACAGCATCTCTGAAATCCACCCATAAGGTGGTAGCACCTACTACACCCATGTTGTGCAACCAAAAATATCTGCAGACATTGAAAACCTATAAAACGTAGTTAAGGCAGTGCATATACTCACAGGATGTTGAGGCCCAAAGGATGTTTGAGTTATGTTCATGGACTCAAAGCTGTAGAATAGGCAGGAAAGAACATATTTCCTGTCATTGGACTTCACACTACATTATCAGAGGAGGCACCAGACAGTGTTGTTTATATTCGAGGATAGTGAAACCATGTTTTCACTTTTTACTTAAAACTCAGAGGCAAAACATGGATCTTGAAATGGTGGGGCAGGGTGGGAGATAAATCTGAGCAATGTGCTATACTGAATTCAGAACATTTGAACTGCTCTAGAACCTGGGATGTGGTGAATGGGAATGAGGATCCGTTTGACTTTTCTGTACTTGATGGGAAGACTTCTCCAATATGATTACAGTAAATGGGGTAGCAGGAGAAAGTATTTTTTTGACTTCTGGTGATTAGGGCTCATGTGACAACAGTAAAGAAAGGAGAGAAAAAAGTTCCTATTTGAGTGTTTTACCATGTAATGCCAGGCACTGAGGGGCTTTTTATTAATTTCATAGGAGCCCTTTAAGGTAATAGGTATTATTTTCTTCATTTATAGGTAATCAAATACTATCAGAGAGTTTAAGTCACTTGGCCAAAGGCAAAGATCAGATAAGTGATGAACCCTAGGGTTAGCTTTGTCTAATTTCAAAGTCTGAGCTTTGTCTTTTTTTGTGTGTGTGATACTGAGGATCCCAGGGCCTTGTGCATGCTAGGCAAGCGCTCTACTGATGAGCTACACCCCCACCCCTTATTTTTTTATTTTGAGACAGGTCTTGCTTTAGTTGCCTAGGCTGGCCTGGAACTTGTGATTTCTCTGAGTCATCCTCCTTAGTAGCTGAGATTATAGGCACACGCCACTACTCCTGGCTGGTTAACTCACCCTCCAAGTTTCTTCTGAGGCATCACCTCCTCCAGGGCTTTTCTTTATTGATAGGATTATAGTTTGTTGGGATTGGAGTTGTCAGTCCTGTTAGTGTGAAGTTCAGGAAAAGATGATTTTACAGTGTGAATTGGATCTGTTAAAGGGAATGACTCTGAGCTAGGTAGAAAGCAGGTACCTAGGTAGCAGATATAGTAGAGAGGTAATTTGGCTCTGATCGATGCTAAATTACCTCTAGGTGACCTTAGAAAAGTAGGTAGACGTGTATGTGGACAGGTCAAGTTAATAAATGGTCCAAGAACCAAGCTTCCCAGCATTTGCCCCTTTTTTCCTTCAGCAGCTCCATCTAGACACAGGCTCAGTTGCCTATCTTTGTCATCAAATTCTGGGCACAGGCAAGGACTTGATTTAGGGAGGTAGGCTCACCTTCCAGAGAAGCTTTGGTTCTCTTTCCTTCTTTCTTCTGATGAAAGGAGAGGAAAGGAGGTGTGGCTCCATGAGAACACCCATGCAGGAGCCAGGAGACCTGGGCTCTGTACCTTCTGATGACAGGAACACCAGTGGTGACTCAGGTGGTAGGTATCGTGGCACTCATTTATTCACAAAAGGGAAGTATGGATTATCTCCTCGGAGAAACATGAAAACTGTCCTCAGGAAGAGAGTAGGCCCAAAGAGCTGATCTGTTTGTGGTTTTCAGCCAGGGCCCGGAGCTGTTGCCTAATCCTTGGCTGCCAGGGCCCTGTGGTCTGTGACTTTTGTTTTTGTGGTTGAGAGAGATCGGATGGGAAGTCAGGAACCTTTTTCTTTTGATCTACCTTGGTGCTGGCCTTTGCAACAAGCAAGGGATTCAGCCTAGCGAGTTGAAAGTGCCGAACAGTTAACTCTTCTTCCTCAGGCTCTGTCCGGAACCTTGTAGGCTCTGTCTTTCTGTTTTTAGGTGCCTCATAGACAAAGAAAACCTTGTTCTTTAGCTTCTTTTGGATCCAGGGATCAATTGAGGCCCAAATGATTAATGTTTCTTGTAGCTGCATTAAAACAAAGGTCCTAAGGCTTTTTCACTTTGAGCTCAGCCTGGGAGGGGTAGGGGCACCCAAGGGAAGGGAAGCTGTAGCAAGGAACCAGGTCCAGGAACAGTGTCTAAGGACTTACTTCCCTTTCCTTCTAACAAGGAACTCATGGTGAGGTGAATGAGAGAGATTTGGAGGAGGGATAGAAGAGAGGAATAAATGGCAGAAATGCCTTACACTTTTCTTCACAGCCTGGTTCTCTTCTGTATCTAGCATGTCCAGTAGCAGGTGGAATACTTGTGGGCCACGGATCCCCAGCACACCCTGGCAGAGGCAGAGTGACCTGCCTAAGTAGCCAGCCCTAGAAAGATGCACTATCCTCTTTCTCATTCTACTCTTTTTGGATGACCTTATGGCCTAGAGGAAGAGATATAGTTTCCCAGCTGAGCTGCTTCTTTCCTTGCCAGTTGGGACCACCACATGGATTCCAGTTCCCATTACTTACCTAGAAGGGTCAGGACAATTTCCATACTAATAACACCCATACACCCATCTCCTGAAGTTTTACCTTACCCATCCCCAACCAGGGACAGGTTACTCTGAACTTTCGATCTAGAATTCTGAAATGGACCTCTCAAAACTATAGCATTTTCTTTTCCTTCTGTGACTCCATTCAGTTGCCTGTTCCTCTGCCATCAATGTATCACAGGACATCAGAGAAGCAGAGTCTGCCTTACCAAAGAGATGACTGCTTGCTGGCGAGCAGTGGCATCTGGGTCCATTAATTGCCTGTGTGAAGAGTATGTTGTCTTAAGTAAGCGGGGGAAGGATGCTTTTCAGGCCCAGAGTGAGTTGGGCCAAATGCTGATAAGTGATGTTAACTTTGATTTCCCTGTTTTGTTTCTGAGGTCAGGAAGGGGAATAGAAGGGCAAAAGCAGGTTCTGTACTTTGCCACAAAACACTAAATGATGATCAGGACTCATCTGTCCAGAACTTTACCTTTTAAAAGTTCCTTTCAGGTTATATTTAAGTTTCATTGCAACCCTGAGTGGTGTGATTAGCCTTTTTTTTCAGATGAACAAAAACCCAGGTTAGGGGTCAAAGAGTGACTTACATAGCAGCACAGGCAAGGCTCTCAGCCAACTCCTCTACTCCCCTCCCCAACCTACGATTTGACCCTGGCAGCTCCCAGCCCAGTTCACTTACACTTCTATCTGGTTCATCATCATAGGCTTCATATTGAGCTTTTCTACAGTTTCAGCCACAGCTTGTCTCAAAGCCTGTAGAGGAACCAGAGTGGGACAACAGAGAAAGGGAATGCAGAGGAGATTAAGTGCTTCACAAACCTTTATTAAATGCTTAATAGGATCCCTAACTTGAGGAGCTCATAGTCTGATAGAGGAAGCAGACAAGTAAGTGGCAATTAGAGCACTATAGGATGCATATAGAAGGATATTCTGACTCATTCTGGGTACTAGGAAGATTTCCTGGAGGAGGAAATGATGCCTCAACTGAAACTTGCAAAGAGAGAGTTAAGTAGCAGAAAGTTGTATGTGTGTGTATGTGTGTGTGTGTGTGTGTGTGTGTGTGTGTGTGTGTGTGTGTAGGGTCTGGGCAGAGGGGAGAGGATGGGCCCAACTACAGGCAAGAGAAAGTGTAAAGAGGATGGGGAGCCAAAAATAGTTTAGGAAGGTGACCAAACAGACTCTTCGGAGCACTCTGAGTAATTAACATTGAGCTAGCAGGTGCAGTTCAAGATTTGGTCATTCTACGTATACCTGGCATATGGCTCTGAGGGGGAAGAGTGGTGAGGGTGAAGGTAGAGCTAGGCAGGGCTCAAGCTGTGAGGCAAAGTATGAAATCCTAAGGGCATGGAGAGCCTCTGAAGGTTTTCTTTTTACAGAGATAAGACAATATGATTTATATTTTAGAAAAATGACTGTAGAAGTGCTGTGGATGGTTCTGTAGAAAAGATAAAAAGTAAGGAAGTGCAGAGGAAGGCCAGGTTGATTCTAACTGGCAATTTGGGAAAGCTTCCTATATCAGATGTCATTTGGGCTGGTCTTGAGAAAGCAAAATAGCATTTTAATAGACAGGAAAGAGGGTGAATCCTTTGAGTCAGTTTTTATCCTACAGAAGAAGGAGGGATTTAATGGGGTATTTTGAACTGAGAGAACGACCTGAGCGAAGGGAAGGTGGTTTGAAAACATAGGCTACACAAGGGGAACCCTAGGTTAAGGTGAGTGTGATACTGCGGAGTGGTATGACAGGACCCTCCAGAGAAGGGACAGGACAGGTTTGGGCTTTCTGGGCTTGGAAGCTATGGTCTCACAAAGAAGGGGTCGCAATGTGTCTTCCATTTGAGCAGGTCAAATGTGAGTTCTTCTAGCCCCTGTGCCTTGATCTCTTCCTGCCCAATGGTCCTGAGCATCTGGGTGGCTTCGAAGCGGTCCTGGGGTGGGGGGATGTGAAAAATAGGCCTCCTTTCTCATGTCCCAACCCTGTGCTAGTATCGAGGAAGGAAGGAGACAAGGCAGCCCAGAGCTTACCTCAATGACACTTGAAGAACATAGCTGGGTGAGAATGGCCCTGGTGACTACAGCGGAGTTTACATTCATGATCTTGACCAGCATCCTAAGTGCCTGTGAGGGGTGGGGTGGGGCAGGGTGTATAGGTGTATACCTAGAGGCATCTAGATGGCCGGGTGGACTTGGGAACTGGGTGTAGAACTGTAGGGAACAGGTGAGGTCCTTTCTTCTGCCCCTTGGCCTCTTGAGTGAAAACAAGTTTATGTGTGCACATATGCACATATGCACACATACATAAATGAACCTTTACATATACCAATTGTGCACAGAAACATGCACACTTACATGTCAGTATTAACCCATATATATGCATATGCATATCTAAACTCATCCTGCTGTTCTCCTAGCCAAGGCTTATTTTCTATGGGACAAAGATGACAGTATCCAAATACCATCCAAGTCAGCATTGGCCTCTGTTGCCCCAGGGACCCAACCTGCCCCTCACACCTTCATCTGCTGGGTCTTGGTCCCTTGGCTCAGGCACTGCAGCAAAAATTCTTGGGCTATGTTGCTACAAGGCCTCAGGAAACCCAAGCACAGGGCTGCCTCCAGGGCTGTTTCACATGAGGACGACTTTATCAGTCTCTGCAGCACTAGTACCAGCTCTTCTTCATTCTCGACTTGAGTCCTCTGAGGGAGACAGTAGGTATAATGGGCTATGTGTTCAGCCAGACTTCATGCTTTATTAGAGGGTAGTTCATTGTTGCTTCCAGACCATTCTCTTTTCTCTCTAGCTAAATCCCACACCATCACATTATTATTTCATTCATGTTCCCTTGCTTATGCTGTCACCTACTTGATCTTAGGTCACATCTCATTTCTGTGTGACTTTATCTCATATATGGATCACTGTTACTTTTAACATTTCTGCTGTCTTAATTGTTGGTGTTTAAAAACATATACACTCAATTGATCCACCACTTCACTTCTAATAACTACTAATAACTTCACGCTACCTCAGCCATTAATCCAACAGACAGCTTATCATACAACTGCAACTTCTCCATAATCTCCATTTCATTGAGCTACTCTGAATATTACCTCCTATTTCTCCAGCTCATCTCCTAATGCCAATTGTTCGAGTCCATTGAAACTGCCACTTTTGGGCTGGGGATTTAGCTCAGCGGCAAAAGCACCTGCCTGGCAAGTGCAAGGTCATGAGTTCGGTTCCTGGTTCTGGAGAAAAACAAAAAAAAAAAAAAAAAAAAAAAAAAAAAAAAACCAAAAAAAAAAAAAAAAAAAAAAAAAAAAAAAAAAAAAAAAAAACCAAAAAAAAAAGAAACTGCCACTTTTTCACTGATTCTTAACTTCCCTACCCAACTTAAATTCCATGGTCTTATTATAATCATTCCCTTGCTTCACCCTATTTTACCCCGTCTTGTTTCATTGTACTCCCTTGACCAAGCCATAGTCCTAGTTAAGTCCAACTCTCCACATAGTCTATACTTGCACCTCGTGGAGAAAAAGCACCCAGTCACAATGACTGATCTTTAAATTGATATACTAAAACCTTAGGTAGATCTTTTTTTTTTTTTTGTTTTTTTGAGACAGGGTCTTGCAATGCAGTTTAGGTTGGCCTTGACTTAGGTAGATTCTTGATGTTTTTTGTTAATCATACTGTTTTCCCCTCTGTAATTCTCTTTCCCTTTCTCTTAACTCATAACCTGTCCCTCCAGAGTCTCTCTCTCTCTCTCTCTCTCTCTCTCTTTTTTTTTTTTGGTCTTCTTGAGACAGGGTCTCACTATGCAGTTCAGGCTGGTCTTGAGCTCACTTTGTAGCCCAGCCTGACCTGGAACTCACAAGGATCCTCCTGCCTCACAAGGATCCCTCCCGAGTGCTGGGATTACAGGCATGTGCCACCACGCCTGGCTCTCTCCAGAGTCTCACACTTCTTTATCTATGCACTCTCAGATGATAACTTTGCTTTCTATTTCACTGGAAAAAACAAGGCAACTAGAATAGAAGTAACTTCCTTTTCCTTTATACTTTTTATTATTCAGTATATACCCATCTATCTAAAGCCAGTCTCTCCACTTATAGAGATCTCATCCCCTCTCATCTACTCAAGGATATTTTTGTAGTGACTCCTCTCATTCTCATCAAAATCATTTTTCTAACTACTGGATTGTAATCCCTCAGCACAGAACCATGTGATTATTTTTCTTTTTTTCTAGACTATCTCCAGTGCCAACTACTACCCTTTTGTGCAAAGCTCAGAAAATTGTCTAATTTGCTGTCTCTAATTTTTTTCTGCCCAGTCTCTTAAACTCATTTTGATCAGGCCTATATCCCCACCACTCCACTAAAATGGCTCTGTTAAGATAATCATAGATTCCCATATTGTTAATGCCACATCTCAATTTTCAATTCTTATATTCCTTGATATGGTATTTCCTTGACATGTTCTTTCGCTTGATTTTCAGAACAGTATACTTTGGATTGTCTTCCAGTTTCACTGGCTGCTTCTCAGAGTTTACCAGTTTCTCCTCTTCTTCCTGATCTCTTAATACCAGAATGCCTCAACCGTAGATTCTTGGCCATTTCTTAGTGATCTCATCTAGTTTAATGGCATTAAGTGGTATCTATATGCTAGCAACTCCCACATTTCGCTCTCTAGTTCAGACTTCTCTTGCAAAGTCATAATTATTACTTCACATATCCCTTGGAATTCCAAAAGACACCTCAGACATAACTTGTGCAAAACTGAATTTAGGTATACAGAAGAATAACTGGGATAACTGTGCTGCTGATGTCTGATGGTATACTGAAAGGAACAGTTAATGCTTAAAATTTTTTATATTTTGACCAATTTTGCATGCTTGTGTCTGGTAATCTGAGCAACTGATTTGAAGACAACAATATGCAATGGAACTACCATGGTGAATTCCTACCATCTTGTTAGTGAAACTCTGTATTATCTGTAATGTTTTAGTTAGTAATTATTTTTAATTTTTTTATTCTCTTTAATGGTTTGAACAATCTTCCATTCTTACATCTGGTAATCTGAGCAATGTAGTTGAAGATAACAATATGTAATATAACAACCACTGTTAATTTCTATCATTTTGTTTTGAAACCCTGTATCACTTTTAATGTTCTTGCTTTGTTTTGTTTTATGTCTGTGATGTTCATATGTTGCTATTGTTCTTTTTTTTTTTTTTACTACTCTCTTTAAAATTAAAAAACAAAAAAACTGAACTTAGGCTGTTACTTCCGAACCTGGTTCCCTGCAGTTTTCTTAACCTTGATGCTGACTCTATCCTTTTAGTTGCTAGGCCAAAAACCTTGTCTTCATCCTTGTTTCCACACTATCTTCTACAACTCATACTCAGCCCATCAGAGTTTTGTTTTTAAAATATCCAGGATTTAATAAAGTCTTATTAACTACACCGTGACCACCACTGTCTAAGCCACCACTACGTTTTATAGGATTGTTTCACGAGCCACTAATTGGTCTTCTCGGCTTCTTTTCCTCACCTCCTCTGCCTCAGTCTTTTTGCAGCACAGCAGTTAGAGTGAAGTGCAAGTTAGATCACATTAGTTGCTCTGCTCAAAAGCCTCTAATGGTTTCCTATTCCACTCAAAATAAAAGCCCAAGTACTTAAAATAGCCCCGAAAGCCACATGTATGTTCTAGTCTACAGTTAACTTCTTTGACCTGACCTTTATTTCCTATTGCTTTCTCTTCGTGACTCAGTTCAGCCACACTAGCCTGCTTGCTATTCCCAGACTATGCCAAGCATGTTCTTAGCTGAATAAATGGATGCATGATGGGTTCTTGTTCATACGGAGCAGTGATAGAATCAAAGGAGGAGTAATTTAAAGGGGGAAAAAAAAACCAGAGTAGTGTCAGGACTGTCTTGGTCCCTGTCCTTTCTTGACAGGTTTTGTTTCAACAGATTATTTTAGAGATCATAATGATGCTACCATTTAAAAGACAGACATTAGGGCCAAGGACGTAGCTCAGCGGCATAAGCGCCTGCCTGGCAAATGCAAGGTCCTGAGTTTGATTCCCAGTACCAAAGAAACAAACAAAACAGACATTATTGTAGGTGTGTTATCTCATATAGTACATTATCTCATTTAATCTTTTGCAAAACATTTACAGTCTCCATTTTAAAGATGAAAAAACCTGGCTCTGCATTCTGGCTTTTCAGAGGTTGTCTGATTAGTCCCTGTGCAAGAGATGTGCCTCTATATAACTCTAGAGGGAATTCCACAAGGATAGTATCTTCTATTAAATCTGAGAGCTAGGTAATCTTATTTCAGACCAAGCCTACAGCCAAATCTGTCAGTTACATTGACCTGCTTTGCCCCAATTATAGATCCTCCCATTCACCTTGTCTTCAGGGACAGCAGCCCAGGAGTTCAGAGCCATTCGTAGCCTTATCAGAGTCTCCATCCCTTGACGCTTACTTTCCTCCTTCAGTTGTTTGATGAGAGCCTGGATCACATTCTTATTCAAGCAACCTGGACAGGGAAGGTCGTCGGGTCGCATGGCAGAGCCACAACAATCCATTGAACTCCACTGTACTCTCAAGACAGAAGTTCCAAGCACTAAGTTCTAGGGTGTTGCCCATTCTCTCAGGACACCAGAGCAGCTGACTAAACATGAACACAATTTCTGGAGTTTGTCTGTCTCTCCATCCCTCCCTCCCTCCCTCCCTCCCTCTCTGTCTCCATCCCCGTCTCTGTCTCTTGTCTTTTTTTTTGTTTTTGTTTTTTTATGGTACCAGGAATCGAACTCACGTCGCACTTGCCAGGCAGGCACTGTGCCGCTGAGCTAAATCCCCAGCCCCTTCCATCTTCATCTTCATCTTTGTCTCTCTTTTTGACCCATCTTCCCCTCCATTCAACAGTACCTAGGCTAATTCTCAGTCTCTGTCAAATGCTAGGTTTCCTTTTGCCCTTTCAAAAAGAAGTGGCTGCCCCTCTCTCAGCTCCCCACCCAGAGAGGTGACATACTCACCCAGGATGGCCAGGGTTCGATAAGCCTCACACTTCACTTTCTTCGGGCCAGTTTGGGCCTGATTTAAAAGGTAGAGGGTGGAAACATAACGTAAAGCGATGGAATGTCAGCACCTTAGGGACTTTCTCAGCTTAGCTTTTCATTTTATGAAAGAGGTCTAGAAAGTGATGGTCTATGTGCAAACACAGTACAGGCAGGATAGTGCAGTGGAAGGAACTCTGAACCTGGGAGTCAGACTTTTGCTTAAATCTTTGTCATTTAGTAGCAACTTAGGCTTGGATTCCCAGAGTTTCTATCTCCTCAGTAGAAAAGACACTAATAACAGTGTTGTAAGATTTAAGTGAGATTACCAATAAGAATACATGCTCCCAATTGTGAATAGACACAAAAGCCTGCAGTGTTGTGTCAGTTAATGAAGAGAATTAACTCAGGCCCAGTTCCTTCCTGGCTTTTTGGCCCAGCATCTTTTGTTAGAGTAAGGGAACCTTCAAATTCCCCATTTCCTCCAGCTGCTCTATTTTTTTTCTTTTTATATAAATTGTCTGTTGATTCATTTTAGATATACATAATGATAATTCTCATCATAGGGAATTTGTACCTTTACATGATATAT